AGCAAGCACACGCCAAGAGCAAGTGGTAGCTGGTAATTAATCAGAAGGAGACAAAAACACCAACTGACAAGGAGGCCGCCAAATCAATTAACTTAGGAATGATGTTTATCTAGGTTAGATCTTGTATATATAAGATGGTGGAAACAAGGGAAAGGGTAGGAAGTAATTATTTGTGCATTCATTGGAGAGTTAAATCACTGTTTTTGGAGAGTAAAGCTACCAAGCTTTGTAAGAAACGTTAATTTAATCACAGCTTCACCTTTCTCTTGCATTGTTTTTTTTTTTTTTTTTTTTTTTTTTTTTTTTTTTTTTTTTTTTTTTTTTTTTTTTTTTGCTCTGTTGTGTTCTGTTTTTTTGCTATGTTGTGTGTTGTCAGGGGCGAGTCCATTGCAGTTTGAACCTATTATCAAATGGATAAAACAGGCACTATTTCACTAATTTCATTTTTTGTTCCTTTCTTTAAATTGCTTCTGTGTTAAACTATTAATTGTTATAATTGCATACATAATTGCATTTATATGTATGTATATAATTAATCATGACTATATACCAATGTGCTTATGATTGGCTGTATGAAGGATCTAATTACTATCTTAATGCAGCTAACATGAAAATTGCTACTGTAGAATATGATGAGAAAACAGTTAGGTCAAGGGCTGTGTTGTTGACAGCCCTTGTGTTGCTATCTCTTTTCCGACTTATTTTTGGTTTTGAAGTACCATTTTCTGTTCTCAATTTCCTAAAGGCTATTCCTGGTCAAAGTATCTTGGATTCAAATTTCATTAGTTCAAATAGAAGCTTTTTGGCTTGCATTCAAAAAATCATAGAAGCTTTTTGGCTCCAAACACTGTCGATGGAAGGTTCTCTTTCACCTCGAGGGCATAAGCAAAGTCCTCAAAGCCATGGGCGCAAATCTGTTTTAGGAGGAACTCAGAAAGATATATGGCTTATTGTGAAGGAAGGCTGCTTAGCTGATGTCGAATCAGCTTTAACTCAACTGAAACAAAATGGTGGTAATATCAACTCGAGGAATGCATTTGGCCTTACTCCTCTTCACATTGCTACTTGGAGAAATCACATTCCTATTGTGAGGAGATTACGTGCAGCAGGTGCTGACCCTGACGCTAGGGTGAGTTATTCCTCTTTACTCTGTCTTTATAAGATTTACCTTCTATTCTAGTTAAGTTGGGAGTCGGGTATTAGTATATGCATTGTGAAACAAAATCTAACTTGAACCACTTTTCTAGTATCTGTCAATGTGTATTATGCATCATTTGGATTTGCATGTGCGGGTCAGTTGCTGATTTGCACTGATGTCAGGAAACATTTATTTTCTTTTTTGTCATCCTTTGTTCATGTCCTTTCTTAATAACACTATTCAAAGGAATTTGAATGCTTAATAGAATGGATGATCATTAGATTCCTTTCTGCTCTCTTGTTCTTCTTACTTAGGCGGCTTGTCTTTTAGGATGGAGTAGTCTCCATAGGGCTCTTTATTTTGGCCACTTTGCTGTGGCAGGTGTCCTTCTTCAGTCTGGTGCATCAATCTCTATAGAGGACTTCAAATCACGAACCCCTATCGATCTCCTTCTGGACCTTTGTCGCAGATTCTGGGCAATCAACATGCTTCAGGTTTGTGGCTTTGCCTCTTAGTGGTCGTTGTTAGGAATTATTGCATTGATATGATTGGATGACTCAATTGTACTTTTCTTTCTTGCACAGTTACTACTGAAGTCTTAAGTTGGGGAAGTGGTACTAATTACCAACTTGGAACTGGAAATGCTCACATACAAAAGTTACCTTGCAAATTGGACGCACTTCATGGTTCATTTATTTAGTTGATTTCTGCTTCAAAGTTTCCTAGTGTAGCAGTCACTGGCCGTGGGGAGCTTTATACTTGGGGGTTTGGAAGGCGTGGCTGCCTTGGACATCCCAAGTTTGACATTCATAGGTAAAGACTCTGATTCCCCCCCCCCCCCTCCTTCTCCCTCTCCTCTTCCATTTCTTCCTTTTAAGTAATCATCATGTAATTTGTAATTTTTACGTCTTGTTGAAGTATTTCCATTGGCTAATTTAGTCTTGTATGTTTATCAAGAATAATTTTTGATATTGCATGGTTATGATTTTATGATTCATGATAATTAAGGGCATATTACCTAGAGAAGTCCAATTCTTAGGTCTTTTGATTTTAAAATAATGAAAAATGGAAGAATTGATGGGCTGCAAAAGGGATTGTTTTGTGAGGGGGTTTTCGACAAGGACCAAGGGTTGGTTACTGGAGATGCTGATAAGAGGGCTCGAGTATAGGAAGAAAGCAAGTAAATTAGTGAGCCGATATATCTAAAATAATCAACGAAGATAAATAGTGGAAACATTTTGGACTTTGGTCAATTTTCATCTTGCCAGGTACTGTGTGGAATGATGAATGGTCATCCACCTTGCTCAGGAGTGTATCCATTGCAAATCACTTTTTTAAGTACTCGCACACCTTACTGTAGCCTGAAGCAGCAAATGGTGTGGTTGTTGGGACTGTTTCTACATGATGTGGCAAGGGAGATGAGGCTGTAGGGTTAATTTTGTTTCACCAGTAATGTTTGAATATTTGAACCTGTTTTTTGGAATCCCGAATTGCTCTAATAAGACCCCTCTGAATGTGATTATGCATTGTAAACACTAAACACTGTATCTGTTTACTTTTTACTGCTGATAGCTGTAGAATCTGTCCTTAGTGCATTGATTTTCCTGCCCTTTTATAGATGAATGCTTAATTGTTTGATGCTTAACATTGAAATGTTGAAAGTTGATGAGCTTGCAACCACAGTAATTGTATCATAACTACCTTTGCATCTTGTGTTGTGCTCTGGCTGCTGTGGGTCCCTAGTATAATGTTGAGATTCTGATATTGTTGTCTTCTTGTAGTGGACAAGCTGCAGTTATAACACCAAGGCAAGTGTTTTCAGGCCTTGGTTCTCGACGTGTCAAGGCAGTTGCAGGCTTGCAGCTGCTAAACACCACACAGTAATTGCTACTGAAAGTGGTGAAGTTTTTACTTGGGGATCCAATAGATGTGTAAAATTAGTGATTAGTGGGTGTAAATTGCTTTGCATTTACTCTCTGAGTTTGTTCATTTTATGTTTGTTTGCCTAAATTTGCATTATCATCAGAATCATGTTCTTACTTTTTTCTTGCCTCTGCTGTAACTATGTATGTCGTGCTTTGATTTTCTTGTGAACTATATATTCAGAGGGCCAACTTGGCTATGCTTCTGTGGACACCCAACCAACTCCTCGGAGGGGTTAGTTCTCTTAAGTCAAAAATAGTGGCTGTTGCTGCGGCAAATAAACAATCTTCTGCTGTTTCTGAGACTGGTGAAGTATTAACGTGGGGCTGCAGCAAGGAAGGGCAACTTGGTTATGGTACATCTAACTTAAGCTCCAATAATACTCCTAGGTTGGTTGAATATTTTAAAGGAAAGTTCTTTACGGCAGTATCTGCTGCAAAATATCATAGTCTAGGAGCAGTTGGAGAGGTATGCAAGTTTAACCAAGCTGGCATAGTTTTTGGATTCGTAAAATTTTCATCGTTTCTCTTGGCTGTAGGTGTTCACTTGGGGTCATCGACTTGTAACACCGAGACGTGTGATTATTGCTAGGAATTTGAAGAAAATGGGAATGCTTTAATGAAGTTTCACAGAATGGAGAGGCTTCACGTGGTTTCTATTGCCACAGGAATGGTGCATAGCATCGCTTTAACTGATGACGATGCACTTTTTTACTGGATTTCATCTGATCCTGACCTCAAATGCCAGCAGGTTGGTATTCCAAATACACTAGAGGTTTTTTATTTGACCACAATGTTATAGCAGAATGTTAGTTTATTAATACCTCTTTATCCGTTTGCCATCGTTTATGCATTCATGTTATCTTAATGGAAAAAAAAGTTGTCAGTATTTCTACTGGTAAGTATTGGCATGGCGCAGTTACATCGACGGGTGACATTTACATGTGGGATGGGAAGAAAGCTAAGGACAAGCCACCAGAAGTTACTAGGCTAATTTGGATCAACCTATTATCAAATGGATAAAACAGGTACTATTTCACTAATTTTATCCTTTTTTGCTCCTTTCTTTAAATTGCTTATGTGTTAAACTATTAATTGTTGTAATTGCATACATAATTGCATTTATATGTATGTATATAAATAATCATGACTAGAAACCAATGTGCTTATGATTGGCTGTATGAAGGATCTAATTAATATCTTAATGCAGCTAACATGAAAATTTCTACTTATTTAAATAACCTTAATTGATTTGACCAGCTCTGCTTAAGTAGTATCCTTATTCCATAGGTACTGAATCATCCGGTTAATTGTTGGGAAAATAGCCAATTCCACTCTATTCTCCTTTTGTGCCTTCTAGAGGCTATGAAGAAGAATGGCGTATATACCTCTCATCTTGAGGCGCTTGATGGTGGATTACTGTTTATCCATTAATTTCCACCCTTTGAAGTTTGAAAGTAGACTTGAATTGCATGATAACATTTTGGCACGGTTTCTATTTAATTTGATTAATTAAAATAAGATAGATGTGTGTGTAATGATCGTCACAAAAGGGGCCAGCTTAGGCTTAGCATTTTGACTAGATGAGCATAGCAATAATTAACAAAATTGGGCTTTTATTTCATCAACAAGCATAGCAATAATTAACGAAACTAGGCATTTTTTTTTATTTCATCTAAAGCTTTTAATCCTCATTACCTAACAATTTTTCTTAAGGGTCTTGATGTTATGTTCAAATGGAGTTGATTTCCAAGCTTAACAATCCATACATTGCTGAATATATATATTTTTGGGTGGACAAGGTAAATATAGACATTGCATATGAAGTACTACCTCCGTTTTTTTTTATGTGCAACTTTTGCCATTTTAGTCCGCTTATAATTATGTGCAACTTTCTATTTTCTTTCTATTTTTAGTAAACAAAGACCCTAAAAATTACAAATTTGCCCTTACTTAAAAATTCAAATTTTCTTAATATTACCCTTATTTTATTTTAAACACAATAACTTTTTTGTCTAATCTAAAATAATTAACCTAATTTTACCCACCCATTTACTCATCTCTCTACCCACCAGCCATCACCCATTCACCCTCTTCACCTTCACCCTCTTCATCTCTTTCACCCTCCTCCCTCAAGAGTCACGACCACCGCCCCTCCCACCACCATTCTCTCTCCTCCTTCACAACCACCTTCCATCCCACCCACCGGCTTTCTGGGTTTTTTTTTTCGATTTTCGGGTCCTCGTTCTTCTTCTTCATTCAGTAACTGGTAGATCTCACTCTTTCCCTCTCTTCTTTTTTTTTGTACGGTGTTTAATTTATCCGATCTTAATTTAGATCGGAATTTTTGTGTTCTGTTTTTCCAGAACTTGGTTTCTTCGATCGATTTTGAGGTTTGTTTTTGTTTTTGTTATTCAATTTTTTTTTTTTTGATTTTGTTTTCACTACGATCTGAAAACTTTGGATTAACATTCTGTTTCTTTCTTTGATTTTTGAAATTTTTAATTTTGTTTTTTTTTTTTGAATTCGAGTTATTATTTTGAGGTTAACTTTGGATTGAATTGAGTGTTGTTTTGATGGATCTGTGTGTATAGTTGAGAGTGTTTGGGTGGTCTGGGTTAGAGGTGAGTTTGGGTGGTGGGGTGGTCTGGGTTAGAGGTGGGTTTGAGGGGTGGGTGGTCTGGGTTGGAGGTGGTTAGGGGTGGTGGTGGAGGGGAATGATAGATTTCTGGGTTTTTTGGTTAGGGAGGGGGCTGCTGGAAAAAGGAGGGAAAGACGTGAGGGTGGTGGTGGTTTCGTGGGGTTGGTTGTGGTGGTTTCGTGGGGGTGGTAGTGGTGGTGGTGAAGCCGGCGGTGGTTTTGGTGAAGCCAGCGGTGGTGGTGGCTGGGCATGGTGGTGGCAGTGGGTGGTTTGATTAATTAACCAAACATTCTCTCTCCACCTTAATTACATACTCCTATAATATATTAATCACCATTATACTTTCTTAATCTTTGCCCTTCAATCTTTTGCCTCGTGAACCGCAACTTGTGCCAAAGTTGCACATAAAAAAAAACGGAGGTAGTATATATTTTATGTTGTGTATGTCATGTTGTATTGTTTGTTTGCAATGTGATTGATGAAGTGGATTATGATAACATGGAAGGTTGAGAAGTGAGAGATAATGTGTTGCACTATAGAGATAAGTAAGAATTCTTGGATGATTAGAAAATTGAGATTTGAGTTGTTTTGGGGCTAGAAATGGAGTGGTGATGGATAAGGCCAGTTCGCGGTTATGTAATTGCTGGTATTTATAGGTATTTTCTGTAGTTATACTGATCAATTTGAGTTATATGTGTAGGAAGGATTGTACTTTAAATGGATTTTAGCTTTTAATTTTTTACTTAGGTTATTTAGAATGCTAAAATTGATAAGTGGTAAGCATTATCTTTGGGTTGGATCAGATTTACAGTTTGAAGCTTAATTATACTCATACTGCAATTTTTTATTATTTTGATTTTAAGACATTAGTGCTCCTGGATTTCTGGACATGGAACGAGGTACTAAAGAATAGTGGGATATGGAACGAGGTACTAAAGAATAGTGGGATATGGAACGAGGTACTAAAGAATTGGACATCAGATTTTTTTACACTTTAACCTTTGCCTTTAAGAATGTTGGGGATGTTAGTGGAGATGAGACTTAAGATTGTGAAATGTGACTTTTCAAAGTTGTTGGATAAGAGCTCAATGACATATTATAATTGAAATTTTTGTCATATTTGTGAAGTTATGAGAGATTTAACAAGCTGATTTGTTGCTAAAATTTTCTATGTGCAATTAACGTTGATATTCTCAAGCAAGAAGAACTTCATATGAGTTAACAAGCGGATTTGTTGTTGAATCGAAGCTAGGAATTGAATTGAATAAGGTTTGATTTGTTTAGTTTTTGAATTTGAACATTGAAATTTGTTGTTTGTTTGGTTAAGCACTTAAGCTTGCATTGTTCTATGTAATTTGGGAAGGAATCTTGGGTTTTGCAGGAAATGGCTGTAAGATTCATGGATTACATTACAGAGGATAAACTTCATGCTAATAATGTCCATTTTTTGCCTTTAAACAAGTATTTGATTTCCTTTATCGGTTTTCATCGGTATTCTCTGTTTCAAAATTCAGGCTATTCTGTGTATTCTTTATATCACAAGGTGATTTTGGGCTATATTTCTCGTCTACCGAGCTCGGTTTCTATTCTTCTCAATAACATAAGCAGAACCTATCTGAAAAAAAAAAAAATGACTAGAGTCTATAGCATTGCACAAACTTTACTCTTGTAAAGAACCTGCTAGATGCCTAGATAGTACTCTCATTATACTGCTGAATCCTTGCTTTATTTATATGCAATGATAAGGTTGTTTCAGCCTTTCAGGTGCTCTTATTGGTGTCATTTTATCACTCTAATCTCTACTTCTTTGTTAATGATCCCAGGACATACTGACATGAGCTAAATGAGGTTGGGAGAAAACAAGCCGTCATAGTAAGTCAGTTATGCTATTCTGCTCTGGTCTAGGTTATCTTGTTGAGTCCTTGAATATAATCCTTTTTTTTTAAGGTTGCTGAGAGACTATCAAAGGAGTCTAATATATCCACTATATAGTCATCTGATTTGAATAGGACTCTCAAGACAGCAGAAACAATAGCATCTAGATATTGGCTTGAGGTTTGTTACTTATCAATGAAAATAATACAACTTTATCTCTCTTTGGGTATAACAAGGGGAGCTTATATTGGGGCTTGAATTTGATGAGATGAACTAGAATTTCAGTAGAGTATGTGGTAATATTTCGGATTCAAAAACCAAGAGTTACATTAAAAAAAAAAAAAAAAATAAATAAATAAAAAAAATTAACAAAAAATTAACAAAAAAAAGAAAAGAAAAATGTTGAAGTGACTTTCCTTAGTGGCAGGTATTAGCTATAGTGTAAACCTTTGATTACAGTTTAAATATGCATGTATTAGATTAATTTGTTATACCAGAAGTGTACTGATCTTATATGTTTACATGGTAATTAGCTGCTCATCAGTTTTATATGGGTTTCTGGCAAAACTTTTGCTTGCCAAACCTTGCATCTTGCTGTCTTTTCTCTTATTAATGAATGAACAAAACAACCTCAGGGCTATTAATGTGGTTTATTTTATTGCAGAGAGAGAAAATGGGGTAGATCAGATAGTTGCGTGGATTATTGATATAAATGGTTTCTTCTGACTCTGGCCGTTTATAGTTTATTCCCTTCCAAGCTTGAGCCCGCCACTGGTCATATGTAATCCATTGTCTACCAATAAGTTGGTCACCAAATCTCTATGAGGTATTCCTCATTTTCTCTCTAATTTGATGATGACTTTGTGTCGTTGGATATATATTGCTGAATTGTTTTTATGTATTTGTGATGTTGGCATAATTAATTGCATGTCAAATTTTGTTTGGGAATATGTTCGTAAGAAGTGTTTTGAATAACTGTTTCAATTAGTGTTGAAATGAGATATAAATTAATGTTATTATTGGGTAAAGTTCCCTCTTTGGATTATAGCTACAGTAACAATTCAGAGTTCTTTATATAGGGCTAATATGTTCATTGGATGGCCAATTCTGGGTTAAACGGTTGTTTTCCTGGGTTTTAGTACTTGAGTTTTCTTGTGGTAGTATGCAAAACCAGTTAAGATTGTATGAGCTAATTAGGCAGTCACGTTTATTCTACATAGATGGGGTGATATCTTTGGAGTTCTATTATTTCGAGTCCATCTAAGTTATTAGGCGAAAGTGTGCAAATGTGGTGGTAAATAAGTAGGTAATTTGACATCATGTAGTTTCATGTTCCATTTTTACTATCTGAACGACCCTTTTATCCTCTGAGATAGGGTGGCATTGCTAAAAAATGGAGCAATAATTTCTTTTCTATATATAAAATAAAAAAGGGTGCTTCTTAGGTCGAGTTTGAGTTTAGTTATCTGGACTGATCGTATTTGATTAAACTTATCTATACTTTTTGTAGATGTAAAGTGGACTTGGGTAGCCCTTTCAGACCATGACATTATTTATTGGCTCATATTTGAACTTATTTCCATGAATTAAGTGAAAATAAAGTGAGGAATATAGATTTTAAGGGCATGCCTAGATTCCATGAAGTAATTTACTGGGGTAATATTTAATGGGGCTAAATTTACTGGGGAATAATTAAGGGGATAATATTTCATTTTTCATAGTTTGGCAACGGTACTGCTGTAATAATTATGGAAGAAGAAATCAAGAATAAGCAACAACTAGAAGGAGAGGAGAGAGAAGAGAGTATAAGTAGCTATGAGCAAAAATGGAGTTGAAAAAGATGAATAGGAGAGAGGATAAGAGGAGGGAGATGGGAAGGAGGGCAGAGGAGGCACGTGAGAGTACTAAGCAGGGAAATATTTTAGGGAGGAAAAAGTTACGCTGAGGAAGGGGGTGGGGGGGGGGGGGGGGCGCTTGGTAATAGTTATCCCCATTTTGAGGGGAATTATTTACCCTCCCTAGTCCCTATATGTTTCCTAAATTCCAACCCATTTATATTTCAAGAATTCTTACTCTTGTTTTTTACCTCCCCTATACCCCTGACTTGTGGTGATATCATTTTCATTTATGCCTTTTGGAATCGAGGCTATCTAACTTTTGCAGCTATAGAGGTATGATAGTTTACAGTACATGTGAGCAGTAAGTATATCAGTATATGACGTTTTAAACTCTACCATAGCTTACAGTAATCAAGAGGCGCTGGCATGGCGGTGTTCATGATGTGTAGTTTGAGTTGTGGTTTCTGGTATGGATAAGATGTTGATTTTAGGCTTGTAATAGATCAACAGAAGCAGGATATGTGGTAGTTTGAGCTTGAGCTTGCAGCATGGCTACATGGAGAAATTTTAGTTTACTTGAAGGGAAAACTGGAAGAACTAGAGAATTACAGTGCTATATGAGCTTTGTTGTCTTCTCTGTACCAAACCCAGACGAAGAGCAGGTTATTTTTATCTAGTAATTCCTGTAACCTCAAAAAATTGCATGATCATACTCCAGTTCCAATGATCTATAATGTGTAATGTAAATAGACATGTTCTATGTGAAAAAATAACCTGAAGCATAGGATATGAAAGTGATTTAATTTTAAAGAATCTTGTTTATTTTTGCAATATTGATTCAAAGTTTGCTTCATATACAGTGATAAGAGGCTTCTACAACTGGAACCGCATCAAACTAAGATACTGCGATGGAGATTCCTTCGTTGGCAATTCGAAGTTTGACAATGGGGTAGATATATTTCACTATATGGCTTGGTCTGATCTGATTTTTATATCAGTCTTGTGTAGGTTTCAAAGTTACAGTATATTGTTATCTGTTCCATTTCTCTAATTGTTATGTTAACATTAAATTGGACAGACCTCAGTGCTTTGCTTTAGAGGATAAAAAAATTGGCAAGCAATGATTCTTGATCTTCTTCCAAAAGGGTTGGCACATGCAGAGAAGGTAGATTTCTATGATAAATCATGAAATCAAATGTAAAAAGCTTCTTAACGCCTCACAAAAAGCGTAGGCGTATGACAGAGGGGAAGATATTCTCCCATTTGCAATATTGCCCACGTGTGCCAATGCTCTGTAATGCAGTTATTTTTATAGAGTGTAATTGAGGAATAGATAGAGAGAATTTGTAAAAGATACTCTCTATTGTAAAATCAGAAAAAGACGAGTAGAGAAGTAGACAGAGGGGAAGGAGATCATCCTGGGAAACAGAGGAGTGAATGGAGGGGAGAGTCAAGTTATAATTTACTATATTAAATTTGCAGAACATAGGAGCAGCTCGTTTAAGAGATTTTACTAATCAAATTTCAGCTTTTTTTTTTCTTTGGTATGGTAAGCAGCATTTGATTCTTAACTAAGCATATTTCTCATGGGTATGTGGAATGCTTCAACTATAATTTTGCATGTTATATATAGTCTTGTGTATAAAATAAGTGTGCTTTTGTTGACTTGCATCTTGCATAATAAGTTTGATTTATTAAATATCCTTTGAAATATTAATTAGATTGCTTGATAATTCACATGCTTGTTCAGACAATTAAAAAGAACAGTATTTAGTTTCAAGATTGCATTTTTCTATTTTTTTACCCTTTTTTTTATTATTTTCCCTAATTTCTTTTTATTGCTTCCCTCCTGTTGATCTTTATTCAGGCAAAGATGAAAGTCACTCTGCTAGACATGGTAGATGGGCTAATTAGCTTGGTAGAAAGGTATGATAGTCCCCTCTATCTCAGCCATTGTTCGATGGTTTACAACTTCAATATACATATTTCTGCGTGTCAATTTGAGTTATTTTGTTGTCTAATTTGAGTTTTATTATGCCAATTTTCTGATCAGCAGCAATAGAAAATGAGCTTCACTCCACTACTATTAATTTTTAGCTTAGACTGACAATGTTTACCTTATTCATCATAACTTGAATCTAATTTACATATAATTGTAAGAAACTCTCTTAAAGAGAAAGCCCAGAGTGTGCTACTGTCTCCATTAATTCAGGGGTCAATATCATAGGAAATTCCCCCCACCCCCTTTCTCTCTCGTCTCTCCTACTTGGCTCAGCTTGATTTACGCTTAGTGCGATGAAATTAGGCTTAGATTTTGAATAATCAGAACTTGAATTGACTGTAATATGTAGTTATTGGGTCTAATTAATCTGTGATTTAGGGCTTCCTTCTATTTTTTATGCTAATTGAAATTAAATTTCGACTCTTTTACATAATACGAGTATGTTTTCAATTTTCTATAATTTTCGCTTTAATTAGAATTAGGTGAAATGTCCAATGGTTTTGATAGAGCTAAGGAACAAAACAACACACAAAAGATTGTATGTTAACCTATGGTTGTCTGCGTTTTCACTGGAGATGTACAAAGTTAATGAGACTCCACAGCCTCCTAAGGTAGGAAAGGTATAATTCGATCATTAATTAAATTATTTGATTCAATGTGAAAGATTGATTTTTCTTTGAATTTTGGTGATATAGCTGTTGTTGACGCTCATTTCATAATTGAATTCGGGTTTGAATCAAATAATTTTAGTGAAAGTTGGAAACTTTGAGACTCAAGCTACATTATAATCTACATTTGACAGTACGGTTTGCACCTCTTCCGGAGAGTTACCTTGAACTCACGGAATTGGATATTATTTAATGAATGAGCTGCCCGGTTTCCTTCAAAAAAAAAAAAAAAAGTAATCTACATTTGACAATGTAGTTCTTGACAAATGTGATTTTTCACCGTCTTGATTAATCTTTAAGCTACATTAATCTTGATTAATCTACATTATAATCTACATTAGGGTCTTGATTAATCTTTAAGCTACAAAATCTTGATTAATCTACATTATAATCTACATTAGGGTCAATGCTTGTAATATGTATTGATTTGATTGAATAGGATTGTAAAATTTGGTTATTTTGTTTGGCGTTGCAGTGAAAATGAGATAATTGACAGGTGGCATTGCGGAAGTTTTGAGGTTGCTGTCCATTGGCAGTGGTAGATTATGATAAAAGTAGATTAGTCCTACTATTGTATTGGATTGGAATTGTAGTGTAGAAGTGTTTGTGGATTATGGATTTCAGACAGGAAGTGTTGGTAATTTTGTTGTATAGTTGGCCAGTTGGGGAGTATAACTAGAGCTGATATGTTGGGTTCTTTTTCTTTGGAGACTTGTTATTGATCAATCAATGTAATTAATTTTTATTTTACATTTTGTGTCATTTGAGCTAATTCTTTCAAGTACTGCTGCTTGTGTTTTCCTGTGTTTGTATCCATTCTCGCGGTTATAAGATTCATACTTTGAATTGAAATTATAGCGCTAAGATTTAGGGGGGGGAGGGGTTGGCGGTATTCAACAGAGGAAATGATAATTAAAAAATCCAATCTTTTTCTTTCTTTCCGTTAGTACATTGAAGAAAGATAGAAATACTTGTAAAGTCAATTAAAATTGTCTTAGAAACAGAAGGGTCAATATTATGTTCCAAATGTTTGGACTGACTTGCCACATTCCTTCCTTGAGGCTCACCATCCTCACAATTAGACTTGCTGTGAGTGTGCAAGCTATACTTTAAAGCTCAGTTAAGATTATTTGTACAATATAGAAGCCTCAACTCTGTTCAAGTCACCCTTAACTGCAGACCTGAATTACGAGAAAAATTACCCAGGTCTAGCTCAGGCAACCAATGCTTCATCTGACTCCTATATGGTCTTCAAGTCGTTTAAAGCCTTCTTTACAGCATATATAATCATTTTCCAAACCTACACCAAGAATATAATCAGATTTTTCCCAGAAGTTTACATTCTTCTAGCTATGTTTTAGTCAATGATGCTAAGGAAGCACTAGAAAATATGCAATCATCGGCAAAAGACATACCTCCAATTTATCCTCCTTGGCTTGGTGATTTCGAGGCAGACTACGGAGCTCCCCAGTAAGACGGATACACTCATGAACATTCTCAGGAGAGATAAAATCAAGCGCAACCTTTATGCATGACTGGAACATACAGACAGGTCAATTCATCAGAATCATGCATAATACTCCCTCCATAGCAATATTATCTTTTATTATACAACTAGCTTAATATACACATGATGCACGAGGTTAAAGAATAAAGAGAAAATACATGAACGAGATTTATCACGGGGACAAAAGTGTAATTTTTGAGGTAGGGGTTATACTCCGTGATAAACGAAATTTGTTTATCACGGAGATTGACTGGGGCAGCCTCAAAGAATAAATACTTAAAAATACTTATGTCATTATGTGACATCTCCTATTCATATTCTTCCTTGAAATTTTATTTGCTATCTTTCAAAAAAAAAAAGTTATTTGCTAAACTCTAAATATAGCTGCACAATTGTGTGTGTGTTTTTTTTTAAATGACAATATTTACATTCTTACTTTTTATTTTTTTTGAGAGGATTTTACTTTCTTACATGGCACTTCCTAATTTCCTATGCTCTTAAAAAAGGTATTTGAAAAAAAAATAAAAAAAAAATAAAAAAAACACCACATTTATCTTTCACTTGTCTATAACGGATAAAGCCCACCATTTTCTGTTATCACCTTTTCTCTCTATCACATAAACCCATATTATCCACTTTTTAGTTTTTACACATTTTGACCCACCCCTATTAAACTTCTTAACATGAGTACTGATAACTGAACAATAAATAGAAGACAAAATTAAGGATTTTTTGACACTTACCACCTACAATAGTTGCTGTTTTAGGAATTACCACCTACAGTTTTTTTTTTTTTTTTTGAATTTTACCACCTACTATTTTTTAAAACATCAAAACTTCCCATCTACTTGGCTCCGAACGGAAGTGTGATGTCATGTGAGGCCCACTAACTACCTTTTCACCCTATTTCCCTCCTTTTTTCTCTTTCTCTTTCGACTTCTCATTCCCCTATATTGTAATCCTCTCAAAATTGGGGAAAACTTCAAATTAAATTACATATTCATGTTAATTTTTTCACGAATTGAAGTTTTTTCCCAATTTTGAGAGGAGTACAATACAGGGGATGAGAAATCGAGTGAGAAAGAAAGAAAGGGAGGGAAAAAGGGTGGGAAGGTAGTTAGTGGGCCCCACATGACGTCACATTTGAGTTGAGAGCCAAGTAGGTGGGAAGTTTTAATATTTTAAAAAATAGTAGGTGGTAAAATTCGAACAAAAAAAAACTGTAGGTGGTAATTGTCAAATATCCCCAAAATTAACCAAGAAACTAGCTTTGATCCATAAAAGTAAAAAGGAAAATGATATATACATGCATACAACCCTTAGGGTTTGACACAATATTTCCACTTGATTAGGAATGCGTAATTTTGTCAAGCGTTCCTAAAATAAAACCAAATTACATAATGTATTAAGTGCTTATATTAAGAGGCATATATCAATATCCAATAACTCAAAAAATTTGTAAAAGTAAGATAGGGCCACGGGAATCAATATGGTTACCTTCAAGTTTCTAACTTGGTGAAGACAGCCAGCAGGGATTAAGACTGCTTCTCCAAGCTTTTGAACAAATGTCCATGGCTCAATTCCTGTAAGTAGCATAGAATTCAAGCCAATATAAGCAGCAATAGAGAGAAGTTAATGATTAAGAAAGGCTGAGTAAAAAAACCATTGAGAGAGCTACAGAAAACAATCTTAAACCTACCATATACTTCCTTCAGCTTCCTTTTATGCTCCTCATTCAAGTAAAATGTCTGGTCATGAACAGGGTGAATGACCTACACTTTCATACCAAATCAAACAATGAAACTTAAGAAGAATATATCAATAAGTTTGTGAATAGCTAACATAATAAATGAAAACTAATGTCATCATAAAGAAAGCTCAGTCCTTAGAACGCGCATATAGTTACAGCATTGGCAAATCTTCAGATACCAACCAAAAGGAAAGCATGCTAGCAAATCAGGAGCTTAAAAATAGATTTCAATTCACCTTTTGTAAAAATTAGGGTCTCCAATTACATGGATGGGTGTCAAAATTTAAAAGGAAAAAAAAGGAAAGCATGTCAATGCTCACATCCCAAGCAATAAGAAAGAGAGTGATCCTTGATAATTTACTAGCGCATGAACACTTCCAACAACAAATAGACATATAAACCATTGCCAACAGCACCTGAATGGCAGGAAGGAAAAATAATTCCCATGAAGCTCAACTTCATTGGTGCAGGCAAAAGTAAGAAAAACCCTATTGTCTTTGCAAGAATGAATGCAGTAAGGCTAACAAGTTGACCACTTTCCAGAGAATAGAAAAGGCAGAACAATGTAGGTTAGGGGTGCAATTTTTCTTAAGAAAAATGCTGCTTTAGTTTTCTTTTTTTCATAGAGAGGATTTAAGAGCAGAAGAAATTTAACACAACAGAGTCAGTGAGCACAAAACAGAGAGAAGAGCAGGAGTGTGGGATTATATGGAGAGTATTAGTGCAGCCACACATAAAACTACTCCTATATTGTAGGGTATTAGTGCAGCCACACATACTTCATTTTGTGTTAATTTAATACCAATAATTAATTTTAGTTTCATGTGAGTATATGTTATGGTTCTTAATAATGGTAATAAAAGGTAGACCGGCTTTCATTTCACGTGAATCATGTACCATGAGTACATGACTGACAAGTAACTTTTTATGGTAGGATCTAATACTCTCCTCTCACCAAGAATGCACATTTAGTGACAAAAAAAGCTCAACGCAGAATGCGTTTAGTGACAAAAAATGGTCAACGCAGTTTTCCATCCTTTTTTTTTCCTCAGGTAGCTTCCAGGTTTTTGACACAGCCCCCTTCTGTTTATTATCCTCTACAATATGGCAGTATGTCCCTTTTTACAACTCTCCCTGTTTTTCTCCCTTGCCCCTAGGTAATGGGTACCTTTCATCTGGGAAATCATTCCCACCATCTCTTAGTCTCCACATACATCCATCCCCTTCATCTCCCCAAACACTCTCCAAATTGTCAGCTTGAGGGTAGTGGCAGATTGGGGGTGTTTAAAAATTAATTTGGTAAGCTTTTGATGCCAAGTCACCCCTATATTGATATTATAGGAGGTTACTCCCTTTTGGGTATCTACAAATTAAGTTATAGTAAATTTACAAATTTGAGAGTGCTATGGGATAGCTCATACTGGTTAATAGACATCATACCTTCGTAGTCCAAGCTGAGACATTGAATTTGGCAAAGGAGACTAGACCTAAAGACCAATTTCGCCAGCCGGTGATAATCATTTTGAAGACCCAATGCGATTTAAATCTTTATTAAGGACTAATTCCACTGCTAGCAAGAGTAGAATGCCTTGCTTTATTTTAGTCCACCAATCGATTTTAGGTACAATTGCATAGATTTATATACTTTAACCAACTCCAGCAAATCTCATCGCATTTCGTGGTCCACATTCCAAAGCTAAAGATTGAAAAAGGACCATTGTTGGGAGAGAGAGGGGGAAGCTGCACTTTTATAGTCTACTATTGTGTAGATGATTATAAAGAAATGGGTGGTAGTTGGGACTTGGGAGTGGAGTAATCTTTTCAATGTAATTAGTGGGAAATATGCCGTTACTTTTCAAGGATGTGAGTGAGGGGTTTATTTTTATAAAGTTTGTTTAAAAAGTATTCCCTCCGATCCTGAATGCTATTCCCATTTTGACTTTGCATGCTTGGCAATAAATTACTTTGGCCATAAATATTTTTAGTTTCATATTAGTAAAACAATATAACAATTAAATATTAATAAATTACTAATTGAAACAAATCAAATAAGACCCAATATGACTACGTTTTGTTTTATATATTGAGAGTAATTTAGAAGAAACTATCATAACTAGTGCCAAGATTCCAAATGGAATAAACAATAAGGATTGGAGGGAGTAGTAAGTAAAGTGGTCCCAATATAAGTGAGAGAAATAATAAAGAAATTGTGGGTATATGCCATTTATAAAAGTGTTGCAAGAAATGTGGGACAGCTTTATAAGTAAGGAAATGTGGTCCCAATATAGTTGCAAGAATCACTATATAGATATTGGAATAATGAACCAGAAGCCTTAGCATCTATTGCCATTGGCTAAGATTTTGTTCTTTGTATCAAGTCATTAGTATAATCTATTAAATTATTAAATACTCGAGAAGTAAAATTTTACACATTTGTCATCTTTATTTATATTAGAAATTTTTTAATCCTCACAGGAACATTATTACTTGCAACCTGAAATTGATCACTTGCCTTATGTAGCTT